AGCTCCTCCCCCTTTTAACATGTCATGTACATGCTACACACATGTAAAAGGGGTGGGGCTTTGATAGCTAGTCACCAGCCATTTTGAAGTCACTAGCCACTGAGGAGCTCCTTGGCTCAGAGGCATCTGTAATAGTGGTAGCCCTTTCTTATGTGTGTCACAGTGGCCATCCAATGCCTCTGCCTCTCCTTTCATTTATATGTCACTAGTCCTACTAGTTTTGAAAGGAACTGGCTATTTGTGCATCTAAACCGAGTCTATGATCGTAATAAAGATTTTATTTTATTAAAGCGCAGGTGGTCAAAGCTGTGGGTGCCTTTGACCAGATGATCTCAGAGGACACTTTGGCACATAGGAATGCATACTATTGAAATGAAATATTTAGATTACCTCTGTGGTATTGGAAAGCAAATAATTACATTGGCCAGGTCAACATGGTTTATAGTGTCACCTTTGAGAATCCCTGGGAGGTATAACCTTTGCCTTGGGACAGCAATATCCAGACAATGTGAAAGTTCACGAAAGCCAGAAAACTAAATAAAAAAAAAATTATGTCTTGTTTTGAGAGTATACACTCCAGGAAATAGGTTAATTCATATTATGCTATGCTTTGCTGTGCTTTGCTTTGCTTTGCTATGCTATCCTATGCTATCCTATGCTATGCTATGCTATGCTATGCTATGCTATGCCATGCCATGCCATGCCATGCCATGCCATGCCATGCCATGCCATGCCATGCCATGCTATGCTATTCCAATCATCCTAGCACAATGCCTGGGAGAAGGGTCAGGGGCTTTCCAGATCTCAATTGGATCTCAGCCACCTGGACTTCGTGGGGAATCTCATTTTACAGCCAGACTGCAACAGAGAAAGCACACTTGCGGAGTCTTGAGAGAAGACACTGCTTGAATGTAGAGTGCATAGGGAATAGCCTCAAAGGAACAGCAACAACCAAGGCAATAATCAGACAGTATCAGCCTGAACCTGTTCCAAGAAACAAATTTCAGCAAACATCTCGGACAAGCTTTCCTTAGTTCACATGAAGATGTTAAATGAGGGAGGGGAAAAGCACATTCAGATTTGCAAGGTTTTATAGCTGTAATAATAAAAATAGTCCTAACCTATCTGGCATTTTGCTTTCTTACTCTGGTCTACCTTGCAGAGCTGACATTGACTGAAAGAACCTGAAGTGTGCAAACCCTGTTGGATCAAATGGGCCAGGTTGACATTATGGGAGATAGTCCCTCTGTCTAGTAGGATCTAAGAAAAGGCACAATTGGTGTACCAGATGAAGCTGTGCAAAGACCTTCCTGCCCACAGCCACCTCCTGCTTATTGAAGAAGGTGTCCAGGAAGATTCCCAGATTGCACCATTCTTGAGTGGAGAAGCGCCATCCCATCCAAGGGTAAAAATGGACTATCCCCAGATCTAGGAGCCCCTAACATCCACAGCCACCAGTTTTGATAGGATTGAGTTGGAGACGGTTGCTTCCCATCCAAACCTGCACAGCCTGTAGATACAGGAACAGAAAATTGACAGAATTTATAGAAAAACCGGGAGAATCCCCAACACTGACTCCTCCCTGTTCTCTTCGCCTTTTGATGTATTCTGAAAAGACTATCCCCGTCTGCTTTCCCCAGGAACCTCAAGTTCCATAATAAAAAAGGAATCCAGATGCATGTACTGGAATGAGACCAGCCTATGTCTTAAGATGAAAGATTTTGGGGGATTTAGGAGGCAGCCATAATTCCCTGCCTATGCGTTAGTTTGATCAAACTGCATCTCAGGTGCCTTCTCTCCAGTGTATTTACTTTCCTCAATTTTAACAGAAAAGTGGGGATGGGAGTATAAAGATGGGGACAGTGCATGGAAAATACCCTGTAATAATGGTGAAGTTCTCCCCCCCCCTTTTTTAAAAGGAAATTGTGTTTCATGAAAATTGAAAGAACTTCAGGAAAAAAAGCTGGAAAGGATTCAGTTTCACCACCAATGCATCAGGCACGGAACAGAGCAAAACAGTGCGAGAAGCAGCTGTCGCAGCTATGGAGACAGGCTGGGCAACACATAAAGATTTCAGCCAAATAAAACAACTGCCTGATATAATCCTGTTACTAATTAGACTGGCTGACTATATAGGTCAATACTATGTTCCAGTATCCAGCACTGGCAGAACATTGTACAAACAAAACTAGAGGGAGGGGAAAGTCTAACGGGCAGGGTGAAAAGGGCAGTGTTTTCTCAGGAGGTTTACAGAAAGCCCAATTCTATCTCTGCAGTGGGAAAAATATAATCGTCTTTAATGCTCATGACAGCCTGACAAGGTAGTCCAGACAAGAAGCACACCCAGAAGAACTAGCTCTAATCTTTTTGTTAACATAACATGAATAAAATTTTGAAAGTCTGAAAGTACTTCTGAAGTGTTTGCTCAACCCCACCCTTCCTTCTGTGGACTCAGCTGCCAATTGGATGACTACCATCAGGTTTTTGGTTCTTCCTCCTGTCTCCCAAGGTCATTCTCATATACAGGTAGTCCTTGACTTACAACAGTTCATTTACCGACTGTTCAAAGTTACAACATCACTGAAAAAAGTGACCTACGACCATTTTGCACACTTACGACCGTTGCAGCATTCCGATGGTCACGTGATTAAAATTCAGATTGGTTCATATTTGTGACAGTCACGGTGTCCCCGGGTCATATGATCACATTTTGTGACCTTCTGACTAGCAAAGTCACATGATCAAAATTCAGACAGTTGGCAACTGACTCACATTGACGACGATTGCAGTGTCCTGTGATCCTGTGATCATCTTTTGCAACTTTCTAACAAGCCAAGTCAGTGGGCAAACCAGATTCACTTAACAACCATGTGACTAGCTTAACAACTACAATGATTCACTTAAGTAATTGTGTAAAGAAAACTCATAAAATGGGGTCAAACTCACTTAACAAATCTCTTGCTTAGCAACATAAAATTTGGGCTCAGTTGTGGTTGTAAGTCAAGGAGTAGCTGTACAGCTCAGCTCAGCACATTGTTGGTAACTATAATGGTCCAGAGTTAGAGACTTTTAGACTAATCAAAGCATTTAGAGACTGTAAGACTAATCTGTTCAAAACATTGTATCTAAACCATTTTTCTAAAGTACACATGTCATGTAATACAAGAAACTTCTTTAATTTGTGTGACAGAAGAGTGACAGAAACTAAAGCTTAACCTCAGAAAAATCAGCAAACAAAATTAAGAATTCTAAGTGGGATAAAAAGAAAGCAAAATAGCAGATGAAACCCTGTGTGAAAATGATATAAACTGAAAAAATAGACTTATTTCAAATTAAAATGGATTTAAAGTTAAGTACAAAAGGAATATTGTATATGAGACTAAAAAATGAAAGAATACTTTGAATAATCTATACTCCATGCATATGGAGCATAAGCTATTTGGAAAGATTGAAGTAATTTTGAGGGATATGGTGGAGAGAATAGCCTTTATGTTTAATAACATGATTATTCATAAAATGAAAACTGGGTAGATTGGATTTAAAAAAAAAAAACATCTCAACATGCTATTTTTTAAAAAACTTGCCTAAAATGCATCCCACCTGGCAGTTTGTCCCTAAATTTAAAAGTAAAATCTCTTTTGGGCCCAGCTCCTCTGATAACTTGATGGACATTTTTATGCAGTATAGTTTTCTTGAGTAACGTCTAACCAGGTTAGATGTTACTTGAGTTTTCAAGATCAGCAAATGCTGATTTTAGCTTAGTGAGAAGCAGAAGATGCATTATCCGTCGTGCTAAGAGGGTCAGTCTTAAAATGTGCCTAGAGAGTAATATTCTCTGCATACATTTCAAGCTAGAATTATAGAAACAGAAAAACCAGTGGCAATCTGGAAAACATTTCCTAAGAGCCTGTTGTGGACAGTAGATTTTCAAGGATACAAGGAGGAGAGGGTATGTATCCATGAGGGGAAAATGTGTCTTTGTGAATGAGCGGGAGAAGGATTATAGATTTGTTTTGATTTGTATGACTGTTGTCTGGGCAGCAACCAACAAATTAAAAAAAAAAACCTGGTAAAGACAAGAACAAAAGCTCCATATCATCCTGTCTTGAAACTAGTACCTCTGTGAGAGAAAATAATGTCACTGCCTGGGACATGTGTGTATATGTCTTTATACAAAAGAGGAATGATGTATATGCGTACAGGTAGTCCTCAACTTACAACCATAACTGAGCCCAACATTTTTGTTGTTAAGTGAGTTTTGCCCCATTTTACAACCTTTCTTGCCACGGTTGTTAAGTGAATCACTGCTGTTGTTAAGTTTTGCAACACGGCTATTAAGCGAATCCGGCTTCCCAATTGATTTTGCTTGTCAGAAGGTTGCAAAAGCTGATCACGCAAGACACTGCAACCGTCATAATAGGAGTCGGTTGCCAAGCGTCCAAATTTTGATCACATGACCACGGCGATGGTGTTGTAAGTGTGAAAAATGGTCATACACCCCTTGTTTTAGTGCCATTGCAACTTGAAATGGTAACTAAATGAACTGTTGCCAATTGAGGACTATCTGTATAAAGGGAAAAAGTCTTGGAATTTCTCAGACATGGACAAAACATGTTCTTCAATGTCATCCTGTGATTGGGTGCATTGCTTCCACATTGGAGAGACTACCGCCATACTTCTACTGTCTACCTCTGGGTTATGATTTCATTCAATCCAACGAAGGGGAAAGAATTGCTGAAAATAACAACAGTTCAGCAGGACTTATTAGGATGCTTCCTTCAATGGGCAAAGTTGCAAGTTGGATCTTAGTGCCAGAGTGAACAGAAGAGTTTTGCAGCTTCTTTGTTCATGGGTTAATCATTTTGAAAATGGATTTTCCCCTGCACTCATGGCATCCAAACTACCAGATACACGTGCAGAAAGGCATGTGGAAACACGCATGGGTTTGTTCTCTTCCTTTCTCTGTGATATTAAAATGTATCTGCTTTCCTTTTCTGCAGGTATGTTAATTCAAGGAGTATTGACAAAGGAGTATTGACGCTATGGAGACGGTGCACCCAATGATTGCTGACTTGGATAAAACAGAAAAAGCCTTCCCAAGGATCAGCTACTGCTAGCTTGGCTTCAACAGTGATTGGCTGAAGACACCTCGTGAGTTCCACGCTGGTAAATATACACATCTGCACTAGACGTGAAAGAGTTTGAGATTAGCAGGTCAATCTGGAGAAACCATGAGATTGTTTCCATGGGAGTTGTGAATAACTAGCAAAGGGGGAAAATTGACTATTATGTCCTTGTAAAAGGGAAAGTGCTGCACAGAATAAGGAAGATGAGCTTGATGGAGATATGTAGAAGTTGTTGCCTAGGTCAAAGGGGCTAAAGTCCAGATCAGCCAGATAACATCTAGAAACAGCTCACGCAGACACCTCTCTAATTCAAATCCTGGTCCGTGGACTGTTACCAGGCCATGGCATGGTAATAAGCAAAGCCCCATCCATGGGATGCAGGCAGCACACAAAACCACGCACTCTCCAGTCTGCGGAAAAATCTCTCTTCATGGAACTGGTCCCTGGTGCCCCAAAGGTTGGGTACCTTTGCTCTAATTCACTGAGCTATTAGAGGGGGGAGGAGGTGGAGGAGGAGGAGGAGAAGGAACTACATAGTCAGTCTTGCAGGATTCTGTTATTATAATCAATCTCAATAAGAATAATTTTAGCCTTTTGATGGAGTTGGTTTCCTGTTGTGGGCTGTTGATAGAGCTAAAAGATATACTGGTAGTCCTCAACTTACAACAGTTCACTTAGTGACCATTCAAAGTTACCATTGACCATTTTTCATACTTATGACTGTCGCAGCATCCCCAGGGTCATGTGATTTACATTTGGATGCTTGACAACTGACTAACATTTATGACGGTTGCAGGTGTCCCAGGGTCATGTGATCACTTTCTGTGACCTTCCGACAAGCAAAGTCAATGGGGAAGCCAGATTTACTTAACAACCAGGTTATTAATTTAACAGCTGCACTGATTCTCTTAACAACTGTGGCAAGAAAAGTCGTAAAATGGGACAAAACTCACTTAACAAATTTTGCACTGAGCAACATACATTTTGGGCTCAATTGTGGTCGTAAGTTGAGGACTACCTGTATCTGTGTCTACTATTGAAAGAAAAGAGACTGTGCATGAGCTTACGAGTGAAAAGGAAAGAGACATGTACTGTGTATGCAGCCCTGCTCTTCGCCCAACTGCCTACCATAAGAAATCACAGCAATGCCAGCCCCAAAAGATTTGCAGCCAGCAATCTGGCCACTCATCTAAAAAAAGACGCTCAGTTGCAAGGAATTGTCTACTATTGGTATAGATATATAAGGAAGAAGATTGGTTAAGCATGGTATTTTGGAAAAACTGTAGATTAAATCAAATCCTAAAAATCCAATTTTAAATAACAGCAATTAAGATATAATTATTGTTTGTAATTATTGCAGCAAAATATACATATGCATACATTTCTGCATTTGGATCTGGTATGTTAATATGAATTGTGGCATGTTTAATCCAGGTAGTAAAAGAAAATATTGCATAGACATAAGGAAGGATTAATGTGTTGAGTAAAGGAATAGAACAATTACAAATAGCATAATTATGTGTTGCATATATCATAATGACAAGCTGAAAGCTTGAATGTTTAAAAGTTCTAAGTCAGTGGTTCTCAACCTTTTTAATGCCGCAACCCGCAACCGGTCGTAAGTCGAGGACTAAACCGGTCGTAAGTCGAGGACTTTCCCTGCCCAGGAGCACCACGCATGTGTGGTGCTGCCCCCTCCGCCGGCCGAGGCGTAGCTGGCAAGTGGCAGAGATGGAGCAGGCCGACCACCAGCTGGGCCACCAGCTGGCCCAGCCCAAGGGAGGTAAGGCACCTGCCAGAAAAGGGGAAAAAATGGCAGACAGCCGTGCTTGGTGACCCCTGTGAAATGGTCGATCGACCCCAAATGGGGTCGCGACCCATAGGTTGAGAAGCGCTGTTATAAGCTACTGTATACTCTTAGTGATTGTTCTGACCCAGACAGAACAAACTGCTTTCAGTCCAATCCAGGACAGACAGATAACTCAATAGAAATTATTGCAAAACAGATAAATACGTTTATTCAGAGGAAATACTTGCGATTGTGTTGGTTGTTTCTTCTGCATATTACTCAACTGTTCCTTTCCATAGGTAAATTGATAATGATTTTCCCCTCCTCTTCTGCATAAGCATCACATGTTGGCATAGGACCTCCAAGCCGTGTGGCTAGGAGACATGAGGCTGGATGAACAAAGGCATTCCAAATTGGGCACATAGCCAGTATGTCCTGAGAGGAACTCAGAAACTCCTCCCACTGACCCATTAACATGAGATGACTGACTAGCTAAACTGCATTTCCCATAATCCATCTCTGAAGGAAACAACACTTAATTCAATAAATGCCAGATATTCTAACATACTGATACATGCTCTCTAGTTAGGGTTATATACAGCTATACGATCCAGAACAGTGACCTATGCAATTATAATTCAAGGTATTAAAAAGAAATGTACCTTGCTTGGTCCAATTGCCTACCATTGCTATTTTAATAATATAAATATATATTTACATAAGTATGCATATTTATTTAAAATATTTATACCATGGTCTTCAAGACACCAAACTGGCAGGAATAGACAGCACTCCAGAAGATAGGCTTAAGATACAGACGGATCTTGACAGACTTGAACATTGGGCGCTATCTAACAAAATGAAATTTAATGGTAAAAAAAGTAAGGTTCAACATTTAGGCAAGAAAAACCAAATAGACAGGTACAGTATAAGTGGTACCTCACTCAATAGTACTAAGTGTGAGAGGGATCTTGGAGTCGTAGTGGACAATCACTTAAATATGAGCCAGCAGTGCGCTGTAGCTGCCAAAAAAGCCAACACAGTGCTAGGCTGCATTAACAGAGGAATAGAACCAAGATCACGTGAAGTGTTAATACCACTTTATAACGCCTTGGTAAGGCCACACTTGGTATACTCCATCCAGTTTTGGTCACCACAATGTAAAAAATATGTTGAGACTCTAGAAAGAGTGCAGAGAAGAGCAACAAAGATGATTAGGGGACTGGAGGCTAAAACATATAAAGAACGGTTGCTGGAACTGGGTATGTCTAGTTTAATGAAGAGAAGGACTAGGGGTGACATAGCAGTATTCCAATATCTCAGGGTTTGCCATAAAGAAGAATGAACCAAGCTATTCTCCAAAGCACCTGAGGGCAGTACAAGAAGCAATGGATGGAAACTAATCAAGGAGAGAAGCAACCTAGAACTGAGAAGAAATGTCCTGACAGAACAATTAACCAGTGGAACAACTTGCCTCCAGAAGTTGTGAATGCTCCAACACTGAAAGTTTTTAGACTAGAAGATCTCCAAGGTTCTATTCTATTCTATTCTATTCTATTCTATTCTATTCTATTCTATTCTATTCTATTCTATTCTATTCTATTCTATTGTCATGAAGCATATAAAGTTCATAATTCATTTTCAGTCTGAAGTAGAAAAACAATGATTAGGTATTCTCGGGTCATACAAATTTCAAAATACCCAGAGTGTGTGTGCAAAACCAAACATTGCTCATGTGTTTTAAAACAGCTGATTTGGCAAATGTATTGAAATTATCCAATTATCTTCACTTCTTTTCTTTTTAATAAAGTACAACATGATGTGCATTGTGCAAGAACAGGTTAATCTCCTATTATTAATGGACTATTTATTAGGGCTGTGTTGTTAGAGATGCAAGGAGATAGCTCAGTTAGTAATTGCGGACTATGTTACTTCCTCATTTGCAATGTATGTTAATGTTTGTACTTGCTGTACAGTATGTGTTCTTATTTTTATTTTTATATGGCTTGCCATCCAGAATCACTTGTTGAGATAGGAGTCTATTAAAATCAATTAAATACATAAAACATTTGAATTTATTTTTGTAAGTGTCCTATAACTGTTCCATTTGGGAAGAAAGCTCTGACATGCGAGCTCTTAATTTTGAGGCAAGAATCAAAATGTTTGCATTCTTTTCAATTATAGTCCTATTGCTTGGCAGCTGACATCTGAACAAAGAAAGTAGATTCTCTGTATCTTACTTATAGTTAAAGGGCTCAGTCTTTAGTATTGGAAAGATAAACACATGGCCAGCCCATTAGAGCTAGTAAGTTCTTAAGGCAGCTGAAATCGAAAAAAAGAGGGGTGGAGTTGCTGTGATGAACAGCACAACAAAATGGCTCTGGGCTATGCAAGCTCCAAAACATTTCTTCCATACTTTTATTTCATATCTCAAATCCCATCCCCAATGGTAGTTTATTATTCTGATGTTTTAATCTCTGCTTTTAAAAGCTCCCCAGGTCCCTGTGAAAGTTTCTAGAAGATATTAATACGCGAACTTACAGCAGCGTGAACAAATAAGAAAAGTTTCCTCAAGAGAAACTACATTACTTGTTTTGGTCCCTAGGTGGCAGCAAGCCAAGGCAGTTCTACAGTATATTGTAGAGTTAAGACTAGTTTCAATCTTGCATCCACTTTAGTTCTTGGCTTGATAATAGGATACCATTGTTGGAGTTTCTTATGATCGCTTGTTTATCTTGTCTTATGTGGCCTCTTGCAGTTTTCTAACAAGAGCTTAGATTTATTTTGTCTGCAAACTGTTTAGTGGGTTCTAAAAAAGATTGATTATATTATGGTAATGACTTCCCCTGTTCAAAATGTATTTCTTTTCTAACATTGTCTGGATGACTGAGAATTTATGATTAGCTTTTATCTCTACTTATTTGTTAATTTGAAACAAGGACAATTTGATAAATTGTGTTACCATTTTTTATTTCTATTTTTTAATCTTGGGAAAAACATAGTGTATTTGGGAGTGTAGACATAATTTAGAAAAGAGTCAAATTATTTACTAAAAACGGCAATATTAGTGTCATCAGTTTTTATTGTTTCATGTTGAATAAAGCTCCTGCTGGGAAAAACAGAGCAGCATAAATAAAGAAATAAAAATGATAGTTCTTGTGATAAATATATCTCGGTTAAATTCTGCATCATTTTGTATCACAGCAATTAGAAGTTTCAATAATCTATATATTTTTCCTCCAAAGTTTCTA